CCTTAGTTCGCACCGTGAGACAAGCTTCTGATGTCTCCCACTGAAGCCCGTTGCGCCGCGAGCTCGACACCTGCGGAGCCCCGTGATGACACCCAGGCTGGGCATCCCCAGACATGCCTCGCGCGACCACGTCAAAACTTTGCCTGGGGGCGTTGTCCCGCAAATCCCACACTTAAGGTGACCTCCGGAATCCTCCCGGGCCTGGTGTGTACGTGTAGAATATGCCATGGCCTTCTGCAGCTCCGCCTGTTTGGCTTTACTTTGGGACGCACAGAGACATACTAGTATATGTCCTCCTTGGAGGCGCGCGTCCGACCCGAACTAGCCATTTAGTAATGTATCGTTTCCCGAGCGGTGTGGCCAGAAAGCGCCCGCCACGACGCGTATACTGTAAGATTTCTCGGTGCGCGCGTCGCCCCTGGGGGGGGGGCGACGCACACATAGTATTAGTAGGTTTGGGTGACGCCGATACTTCGCTCTCCTCATCCTTTTCCTCCTCCACCACCTCCCACGCCAGTTTTCCTTAGAAACAACCCCTCCCTGAAGCACCCCCAGGCGTGTCGGTAGGGCGGGCTGGGCGCTTCGCCTGAGACTTCCTCACCATGTTCTCATACTGAAGCTTGAAATGTACATCAGTATCAAAATGTGGCTCTCGCCGTAGCGCCGCCCACATTCGCTGTATAACCTTGCAGAAGCTCCAAGGATGAAGGGCGGGGTCCTTTTCAATGTGGTTCTCGCCCCAGCGCCGCGCACGTTCGTCTTACAGCTACAACAGCTTCAATAGAGGGCGGGTCGTCTTCAAAATGGAGCTCTCGCCTCGACGCCGCGCCAATTCGTCTTGAGAGGATAAAGGTTGCAACAGCTTCAGAGGTGGAGAGTGGGCCCTCATCAAATCTCTGCCCTCGCAGTGGCGCCGCACACATTCGTCCTAAAAGTGGTGTGCAGGAGCTTCAAGGATGGAGAGCGGGCCACTTCTATAGTGTGGCCTTCCCTGTTTAGCACGGATGCCGCCTCGGCCCTCCCGGACTCGCGGGGCGCTCCCGGCGGAACGGGGGGAAATCCTTATGAAACATTCGCGCGACACACTCGTCTTAAAACATCGCAATCGCGTCGAGGATGAAAGGCGAGTCCTTTTTGACATGTAGCTCTCGCTTTAGCGCCGTGCACATTCGTTTGAAAAGTTGCAACGGTTTCACGAGTTAGTTTGGTTGACGTCCCAGAAGCGGCGTCCTGGCACGATTTAGGGTTGCCACGACGCAACCGTCACGTTGATTCGCGGTGCGAAGAAGGAAATTGGAGGGAGGGTATTGCAACATCGGTGATGCGTCTTGGGCTTACGCTGATTCCCCTCCTCCTCCTCCTCCTCCTCCACCTACATCCTCCCTTTCCTCCTCCCCGTCTTTCTCCTCCTCATCCTCCTCCTCCCCCTCCCTCCTCCTCCTACTACTCGTCCTCCTCCTCCTCCTCCTCCGCCCAGCCATTTTGCGCCCGAGCGTCCTTTTGCCTGAGGAGGCCGCGCGGGTGTTTTGGTGCGCCGACTTCAGAGTGGCCACGCGCACCAGAGTCGACCGATGCCAGCTCAGTCCACGCAGCATGGGCAGGGCAAGAAGTGGAAGTGCAGCAACTGCTCATCCAAGAATGGCGCAGGCTACCATTACTGCTGGAAGTGCTGGAAGGCGAGGCCCAATGCTGCGGGCGATCCGCCAGATGCCAGCACGGCGGCGGGAGAAGGCGACGATGACCAGACAGACGAGCAGCACGCCCAGCTTCAGCACATGCGCGCAAAGCTGGCCGAGCTCAAGAAGCTCGCCGAGGACCCTGTCATGGAAGACTCCCTCAAGCCGCAGGTGGAAGCGCTCCAGGAGCGCGTCGACCAGGCTCAGGCGAAGTTGGAGACCAAGGTGCCGCGCTGCTTCACAGAGTGCCGTGTGGTGCGAGACCGCAAGCGGGTCGTGGAGCAGCGGGACAAGTGCAAGGGCCGCGTCGAGGAGCTTGAAGCTGAAGTGGCCAAAACACAGGAGAAGCTGCAGACGGAGCGTTCCAACCTCGAGCGCTACGAGCAAAAGCTGGACACCCTCAATAAGAGGATCAGCGAGCTGCCGGTGCCAGCCCCGGGGAAAGGCTGGTCAGCGGCGGTGACCTTCTTGGAGCAGGCAGCCAAGTGCCTGGCCGAGGGGCCCAATCAGAAGGAGCACCCGAAGCTCAAGGAGGCCTTGGCGCACGCCCTGCAGCAGCAGTCCGCCGAGAAGGAGCGGATTGCGCAGGCAGAGGCTGCCAAGAAAGCTGAGGCAGAGGCTGCGCGTGCGGCCAAGGAGGCCCGCGAACGCGAGGAACGCGACTCGGACAGTCAGGGCGGCACCAAGAAGCGCCACCTGGACACCGAGTCCAAGAAGGAGGACCTCCTGGAGTTCGAGGCAGGCAGCTCCAAGGATGCCATCGCCAAGGTGCTCACCACCGGCGGCGTCACTCCTGAGCAGGCTGCTAAGCATGCTGGCTCTAT